AGTACGTTTCTTTATTCAGAAAATCTCAGAAAGCTTCACTCCGTTTCCGCGTCCGATTTCCTGTCTTTCCTTCCCCAACGATGTCGAACCTGACCCGTTTCAGAGGCGTAACGCGTAGAAAATAGAACCGGCACGTAAGGACTGCAACATGCTGCTCCTGAGACACGGCTGACTCGCGCTGCTGACGGCTCTAGTGGAAAAGGTTCTGTTGACCACAGCGGTTCCCATCTCCAGCTGTGAGGTGCTGCTGCAGTAACGTGCTGCTGACGGCTCAGGTGGAAAGAAGGGGTTAGATCCACAGTGTTTATAAAAACCTCTTATGGAGGGAACAGGAGGAGAAACCACTGAGGAATGAGGATAAACCGACCTTAAAAAACTTGGATGGAGAAACCGCACCGCAACGTGGCCTGGCGGAAATGCGGAAGTGGCGCTCAAGTCGCCAAACAAAGGACAAGAAGCTAGAAGATCACGCCGATGTTTACTAGATAAACCACGCTTTAAGAGAAGTCTTATTCTCACCTGGATTCCTGCTCATTTACCACTTTTCCTCCGACATTTTCCTGGGACCGGATAAACATCGCTGGGAGCGCCATGATTGGAATCGTCGTTTGGCTCCGGGCCAGTGCGCCACTCAGGTAAACAAACAGGAAGGTACATCCTCGGTGCATCTTGGGCAATCGTGAACGAACAGAAGGACAAAAGAGTCTGGCGATCATAGGAGATGGTAGCAGGGACACTACTGAAGAGGATCACAGACAGGAGCAAGGTGGAAAAGAGGAGGTTAGTGGAGGAAAATATGAAAAAGTGGCCAGTAACGGCGGGTAAGCCAAGCACAGGCGCCATGTTGTTACCGACAAGTAGTGTGACACCTTTGGTGTGAGGTTCTTGGGAATGATTTAGCTCATTTCATTACATTCACGCCTGATAATTTTTATTTTTATGGAATTGTGTTGCTGTGGAAGCAGCAGCTGTGGCTCTTCTGTAGGAACAACTGTGTTATGTGAAGTTTCGAATGAAAAAAAAAAGACATTTTCATGAGCCATTATACTCCGTTAACCTGTCAATCCATCAATAATTAGGCCTGAGCAGACTAGCAGCTGCTCTGTTTATTATTCTCGGTCTTCCGCCAAATTAATTGGCTTTTTGGCAGCCATAACATATCGAAAAACTCTGCATTTTTGCACACATGTCAGTCGTATTGTCAAATTTTGTATTTTAAATACCAATGTGCCCCTGCTGTCATGCACCTGACTTTAATGAATGAGTGATTAACAGGCATCTGCAGCACTTGATGTCCTCCTGAGGAGGCAATGTAATCCAGGTGTGCTGAAGCAGAGACATGGAAAACAAGCAGGTCAGTGAGCCCTGAGGACCAGGGTTGGGAAACGCTTCCCTAGAAAGTGAAAACTAAACCCCTCTATTTACTTGTTTTCATAGTAAGGTTGTGACTTTTTGCACATGTGTAGTACTCACCAATCTGCACAAAAAAATTCTTGCACCCACCAAACAGGAAGTCGGCCATGTTTAATCGGCCGTTTGAAGGGTCAGCATTTGATCAAACTACTCCTTCAATTTTTGCATGATCGACTGAAAATTTTAATGGATTGTTTTGTAAGGCATGGCCGATCGAAATGAGGTAAAAAATACTTTTCATATATATATATATATATATATATATATATATATATATATATATATATATATACATATATATAGAAGGGGCAGGGCTAGGCCTCAAACTTTGAATTTTTTTTTTGTTTGAAACGGCGCCTCCTAGATTTATCCAACCAGCAATATCTCCATTATGCAACCACATAGTGGTGACATGCACTTTTGATTTGTAAGCTTATAGGAGGTGTAACAGATGGTTTGGCGTGCTGATGATGCAGTGATGCACAGTGGCCTCGGTCTCGACACTGGCCCCGAGTGGTGCCAAGCGAGGGCCGAACGACGCTGCTTGCAACTTTATTTCATCTTTATTTCTCTAAGTTTAAGTTCTCCAAAACGTTACCTACAGCAGGTAATTAAAATGTAGTCGTTTTTTTACTCTTTAAATTACTTTTTCATACCACCACACATTATACAAGGGTTAGGGCCAATCTTTTGAAGTCGTTGTCATATTATGCAAAAATAATGTTTAAAGTTTAGGTACGCATGATATGTGATGTTAATAATCTAAAGTAATTCAGCTTTTATTTTTTATGAGTGGTATCTGTTTATACCAGTATTTGGCATGAACAGATAGACTATATTGGTGCATGGGTATATCGAATATTGGTAAACAAGCCAATATTGGACATCTCTGGTATTAATTGTGCACAACCTACAAAATAAGGCTTTGAACTATACAAAAGCATGTGCAGAATGATTGAAAGATGAGAAAAGACACCAAATACAAAAGCATGGTTTACATAAATATTTCATCAAATTTACATGCCCATGAAAACATAATTGGAAGTCACATAAATACACATTTCAAAGCAGGGTGGGGATGTGTTGGTGAAGCTGACAGAATTAGTTTTGAGAGTCATTTTGACGGCGCATCAAAGCTCTTAATTGACAGTGCTTTGTTTCTGGAGTTGAGAGAAGGGGGTGTTTCATGTTCCTGTGGCAAGGTGTTTGTCTGCTCCTGCGTCACTCAGTGCGAGGACCCAGAGACCCCCATGCTCATTTGTGGCTCACATTCTCCATCTCAGCTTCACATTATTAAAATCATCCCTCAGCCTTCTACCAATAGCCTCTTTGTTACTCGGCCGGCTTGGCTCGGCTCTGTCAAATCTTCACCAATTACAGTCCCAGGTACAATGGTCTATTCAAAGGATCACAGCCCTTGACTGGTGTGGAGAGAGTGATTTGTGAATCATTATTCAGCCGCCTGTAGAGAACGTTATACCTGAGGAATGCAAATAACATGCCACCAAATAGACAGCTGTGCTGCTAAAAGTGACAAACTACAGCTGTTATTATCTCAGATTGGATTTTTCCCCCTCTTGGAGATCCTTCCATCTCTTACATTTTGAGGCTTTTTTTCTCCTTCTTGTCCTTTATTGGTGAGACTATGGTTACCACGTTAGACACTCCAGCAGCAGCAGCGCTCCATATGTAACGTGAACAGAAAAGGGAAACATTAGCTCTTCATAGATGTGGACCTAAACTGAGGGAGAAAGCAGGATTTAAAATAGTTGTAGGATTAAAAAAAACATTCAAACACAAACTGTTCTCCCCTTGTGTCCGTTACCCTGCCTTGTGTTCTATATTGATAATCATTAGCTAAGCGATGTGGGGCTGCAGGTGATAAAGCAGTGACATTGTTCTTGGAATAGATGCGATGTTGAGGTGGCCGGGTTCCTCCCCGTCTTTGATTCTTATAGGCTTTAAACAGGAAACTAGGATTACACATAATGACAGGGACCCCTTCAGAATCAATCCAGCCTCAGAGCTGCCGTGTGAAAATGGATTTGTGTGACGCTGTTCTTCGCGATCCGTCCAATCGTAGCCTCAGAGCTTGTGGAGCTAATCTCATAATTGCCCTAACCCCCTTGTATTGTTCTGGCTGAGACTTACCATTAAGAGCGAGGATATCTTTGTCCTGCAATGTCAGGTGTCCTGCTGGACTGATAGACTAAAATAAAAAGAGAGAAAGACAGAAAACTCAGGATGTTGAGTGGTGATAAAGACTTTTAAAAGTGAGGAAACACTTGGTGGTTATTTGTTCTTCCTTTTGGCTCTGGGCTAAATGTTTGTTTAACACTAAGCAGGTGAATTAAATGGCCTTCACATTACAGCATTGGACAAAACAGCTGGAAATCTCAGTGTTTCGTTATGTTGGAAAGAGAGGATGGTCTAATTTTCAAAGAACTCACATTTCAGATACATTATTTATTCTAAATTAGCTCAAATTTGGATTATTTTCATGCACATGATAAGAATGTTTACTTTAACCGCTGATTTACTAAAACTTTAAAACTGCAATTCCTTTCAGGAATTATGTATGCTTTTTTATTTTTTTATTTTATTTTTTTATTTTTTAGAAATCTGTTAAAGTAATATTCTAACCCTGGACTGTGATATAATGTAGGCAATATGTCTTTTTTTTGTGCTAAGTCCTTCCCCTGTCCCGTAGAGCCCCATGTAATTTAAATTGAGTGCTACTCATTATTAGCCAATAACGTTAGACATCCGCTAAGTACAGATGTCAATCACAGAGCAGGTGTGTGTTCGCGGAAGTACCTAGACTGTAATGCAAATCTCAGCCACTAGATGGTGCTGGTGCTGAAAGTGTAATTTTCAGTCTGTGTAACCCAAAACATAAATAACATCGGTTTTATTTTACTTATTTATTTATTTTTTGCTAAAAAAAAACTTGGAAAAACTGTGTTTTACCCATAAAAGTTGGGGGGTTAAGGCCTGCAGCTCCACCTGTTGGTGGCTAATGGATATGACAACTTAACTCAACAGTAACGCCAACCAAGCTGCAGTAGAAAAACACACGTGCTGCCTGTTTTTCTTAAGATGAGATGCAGATGTAGACACTGGCTGGGGCATTGTTATAGAGAAGAAAGAAATTATAAGTGTTTAATTTTAATTATAATAATAAACAAATCTAATCTAGATGACATTTGCAGAAGCTGTGCCTGCAGGAACTATTTCATTACAACACTTATTTTGTTTGAAATTAGCACAGAATTAGCTTGCAGCCCTTCTTGGAAAAGTATGCACCTGTTGCTCAAGTAGCAGGAAGAAAAATGAAGGTTTCAAGCCATCATTAAAGTCTTAATTTAATATCAGCAGGTGGAAAAAAAACCTGGGCTTAAAGCTTCTTCTGTTTCAATTTCCAGACGATTCAGTTCTGATGTGTTTTGCTAACGGTTCTGACATGTTAACGTTAAACTTTTCCAAAGTTGTTGTTTTTCATGAGCTGTGCATTGGTCCCCTGGAAACGTGCATTTTTGTTAATCCAGTTCCTCCACCAAGCTTTGCCGCTTCTGTCTTTGTGTCAGGTTGGTGAAAATCAAGGAGTGGGTGGACAGTCACGACCCCGGCGCTTTGGTCATCCCCTTCAGTGGCAACCTGGAGAGCCAGCTACAGGACATGAGCGGGGACGAGCGACACAAGTACTGCACGGAGCACAAGACGCAGAGGTTAATTAGCATTCATTCTCCCCACACTTTATTATCAGCTGTGTCCTCCATGCACTCCTTTAATTGCATGTGCTGATAGAATAATAAATGGCAGAGTAATTACCATTATAAAGCAAAGGATCCCTCTTCTTACTGAACAACTCAGTCAAAGGGTTTTCCTCTAAATTAAGTTTTTAACTGTCATCTGTCATCTGTAGGTATAATTATAACTTGGGCATTTTGGGTTTATTGTTCTCGTGAAAATCTCTATGGAGAGAAAAATTGTGACAGCAGGGTTTTTTTTCTTCCGCTTTCTCAGAGCAAAGACCGAGGCATTGAGTTGAATTCTTAAAAATGTTAAATGAGTCTCCAAGCGTTCTAATTAATCATACAAACCATTGGAGAGTTGAATGTCTTATGTGAAATGAAGTGACCCATCTTGCTTCACTTAATGAGTTTATATTGGAATGAATGGTGCCGTGCCACTGAAGAGAACTTTGTCTAGGCGTCGGCGGCGATAAAGAATACTAAAACAATGCAGGCCCCTTGATTCACGCCGATGTTTTTCCTCCGCCAGCGCCCTGGGCAAGATCATCAAGACCGGCTACGCAGCCCTGCAGCTGGAGTACTTCTTCACCGCCGGCCCGGACGAGGTCCGAGCGTGGACCATACGGGTAGGAACGCCCAAGGAAGCACACACTAATAAATACACGCAAGCATCCCACGTTCCACCCTGCTGGCATCCTCGCTGATACCACACACTTTCAACTTTGTCATGGTTGTGCTTTAGCTAGTCATTACAGACCGAGGATAACTTCAATTACTGCTGAGCTGCTGAACGGTGAAAGCGGGGGCTACATTGATTGAGGAGGGCAACAATTGATTTTGCCCATTACGTCCATGAGAATGTTTCCATCCTGTGCAGATCTGCCTGCCCTCCTCCTGCCGCTGGAGATAAGGAGCCGGCGCATTGTGCCTGCCTAATCTGTGTGACGGAGGTTGTCTGTGCCAAAATTGATGTCGCTTTTCATTCGACTGTTTGTGGGCCTTGCTGGGGGCTCCTCCCCCTGCGTGTGTCTCAGTTTACCAAACCCGGACCGCCAAGAGCCTTTTGCAACGGGATCATAGGATTTACATCAATACAGATGTCGGCTTTGCTTGTTTTTCTTTTTCCTTTCAGTGAATAATAACTAATGAGTAATAAATACAAAATTGTGGCTTAAATGTGATATTTATTTTCAGAACTGTCTGACAAATCTGTTATTTTGGATAAGAATTGTACAGTATAGACAGCTTTCAGTCCTCTGCACGTATCCATTTGAAGACGAAAGCACTATTTCAAAAAGCTGTGCAATTTTCCCACAATGGCCTCCATTCAGAAAACTTGTCACTAAGCAGATCAGTATTGTTTTGTTCTCTGGATGTGAGTCTGGTCGTGTTCACGCTTCAGAACGTTTAAAATCTGTACATGACCCGCTTTTAATTTTGTTTATTCTGAGTTGGTAATCATGGGAAATCCTTTCAGTGTAAACATGTCTAAAATGTTAGTTATTTTCATTGTTACATTATTTCATACATTATACATTATTACATACATTATTTGTATATAGGTAATTTGCTAGAACCTTAAATTCTATGGTATGTTAGTGTTTCTGCAAAAATGATCTCCCTTTTATTACAGGAATTTTTTTCTTCAATGTTTTTGAACTGGTTTTTAAATTTTATGGGAGTGGCTCAAACGATGACTCAGAACGGTGTTTTGCTTTATTTTCTTTAACAAATGCTAAAAGGGGGAACTTGTGGCTAAAAAGAAGAAGAAAACTAGAATTAAATTTGCTTTCGACAAGAAAAAACAAAGTGTTTTAGCTCTGTTGGCTGGTGGACAAGAAGTGTTTATTCCGGACGCAAATATGGAAGACGGGAGAGGGGCTTGTGGTGCAATATGTTTTTCCATCTCTACATGGTGCCCTGTGAGAAATAACTTCAGGTTTCTATGTTAAGACTCTTGATTTTAAATAAATGTATTTTAGAATAAAAGTTTTACAGAAACTTTAATTTATACAGAGAAAACTCATTTCTAAACTTCAGTTTTAAAATTTATCATAAGAAATAAAATCTGAATATTACAATTTCCAGCACTTAAAGAGACAACGTGTATTTTTTTACTATTAATCTCTAGAAATATCCACTGAAATGTTGTTGAGAATGAATTAATTGATGCCCAGTTGTTGAAAAATACTGGCGGCTTTGTACTGCATAACTTCAAAAACTGGGTCTAAATTACATGGGAGCGGGTCTAAGTCTCTTGACAACGCCATATTAGACGCCATGTTTCCTTCTATGAGAGCCCATGAGGACAAAATGCATTTACTGATTTGTAACAAATGGTTACAAAACTTTTGCCATTCTTAAATGTTGTTGTTTTAAACATTTACCCCTTCACTCGTTGTCAGTGATGAAAGGGAGACTGATGTCATTTTGCTGGAGGTTGAACTCCTAGGGATTTTTGACCCCAGTGGCCATCTGTTGGTAAGGTCTTACTCAAGCACAAAAATACCGCTTGCTTACAAGGATTTAGGTATATGCACGTCAGGGAAAATACACATCATCACTTTAAAAGGCTAAAAAGGCTGAAAATGTTATTTTTCTGCTTTTACAAAATTTAAATAATTATTTTATCTTTTTTGTGTTCTCTAAATATCATTTTATTTGCACTGAATCCACATCAAGTACATTCAGACAAACTTTGTCGCGTAATTTTACTATGTATACTAGTACAGAACAACCAGAGGGAAACATGAGATCACTCCTTCTATCGTTATGTTTCAGCCTGATGACATCACCGTGTTTTTAAGCGGCATCTCATTATGACCGATGTCCTTTGCTATTTACACAAAAAGCCTTCAAAATACTTCAAAGGCATCATCAAAAACAGACTTGTCCCTCTCGGTATAAGTGATTACAGCCAGCCTTGATTGCATGTGAAGGGCATTTAGTCAGGTAAGCATCAGTGAGTAACTATATTAAGCCAATACATCTTGCATTGTAAAAACTACGCTCAGTAATGTCATGTTCCTAAGTTCTTTAACATGCTTTATTAGGCAGCCTCGAGGTGACCATTATCTATCAGCCTGCTCTGCACAGCTCCTAACTAGGACAATGTGGATCTCTTGTAATGCACCATATGAAAAAAATCCCTCCCCTAATCTATTTTTCTCCTCCAGATAGACAAACCTTGATGCTGATTAATGGTAGTTAAACTCACAAGTACTCCGTCAGTGAGATTGCAAGTAGATGGTAATGTATTAGAGTCATTAAATACGCATCATTCTTGTGGCATGAAATATGTTGACCCCAACCTGATTACGTATATACATAATTAAAACTGCTTCAACAGCTCCTGAGCACGGATCTGCGGAGCAGAGAGAGCGGGTCGACAGGCAGGAGTCATAATGATGCACGGCAGCCATGTCACTTATTTTGGTCATTTGTCATTTCTGTGCATTGTTTCAGTGCACATAAATTGCACATTTTTTCATTCAACATTTGAGTCTTGGAGTGTTAGAAATTTAATGAAAACTCATAAAGAGTGGGTTCACTGAGGAACCGTTTTTCACTTGTTTGACCAGCCACTCTGAGATTAATATATGCTGGCTGAACGTGAAAATAGTCTTCTACCCTTATTTCCTGCATTGACCTGCGATAGAAAATTGACAAAGAAACGCTAAGATTAGAAAAGCCACACAGCTCTACGTCGCACTGTAAATTAGCATCCATGGACTCAACCATCTTGGATCATGACGGGGGAAGGCTGTTGTTGGTTTTAGCATCCAGGAGAGAGCAGAGCACGTCTCAAATAGTAGAAGCTAACTGTTAATATTAGCAACTCCACAACATGACAGAACTCCTTCTGGTTTGTTTCATTTGTGGAGATAAAACACCAACATTGCAGAGCGAATGGAGGCAGTGGAAGAGTCGTATTTCTGTTAGCCAGAGACAAGCTGTCTGAATATCAGGAAATGATAATGAATAAGACTCTGAATCATGTCCTTATCTGACCTTTCCCCCACAAATGTTGACTCATAAAGCATTCATTTATTCAAGAAACCCCAGCAAATGTATTAAATAAACAAGTGTGTGAGAGCTTTAAAGGTGCACTATGTAAAAATGAAGTAAAAATGACTTCCTGTGGTAAAATCTGGTTACTGCAACCACTTTAAACAACTCTGGAGCTTTTTACCGGCCGTTGTCAAATTACAATTGTCAGCGCTGCAGTATTAGCTGGCAGGAGACATGGCGCCCCCACACTCACTGATGGTAAACAGCAGTTACGTCCCTTCTTCCTTTATTTTGAAAGGAGAAAAGCTGACAATCCCCACAGCAAGCTGGGTACGCAATATGTTTCATTATAAACTTCTTACCAAAATGACTGAAACATTAGCCTCTTTTGGGATTTTCTCACTGTAAAATTCTTACTATATTCTTACATACTGCACCTTTAAACCAATAAAATCTATTGAATCGAAGGAAATAATTAGTCAGTTTAAAGATGTCAAATACGGAAGCACACAGCTACCTCGGGGTGTTGTTGCAGAAGACTGAAAATGAATTAACCAAACTCTAGTGTGTCACAGTACTACGGCCTGATGCAGTGAGGTCTATACCACCTTGTCCTCTCACTGCAACACTAGGTCTTCTTGCTGTCATGATCAGAGAGCTGAGCAGCGACCCACAATGAGGCAAGATTGCTTGGACAGAAATCAATACCACCGAGGAATGGGAATCAGAAGGCATTGATAGCAGCACCGGGTCCTTATCGGTGTCCAGGCTGCCCTGGCAGGGCACAGCCGAGTGGAAAGCTATCCAGAAATCTGGACAGAAGCAGACTGAAGAAAAAAAAACACCTCTGGAGTCATCACGCTGCTATCACCCTATCAAACACCATGTCGCTCGCATGCTGTAATCCATCTTTTCAAAAACATTAAATTTGTCCTCTCTTTTCCCTTCCTCGTGACAGACGGGAACTAAGGCTCCGCAGGCTGCGGGGAAGATCCACACAGACTTTGAGAGGGGCTTCATTATGGCAGAAGTAATGAAATTCCAGGATTTTAAAGAAGAAGGCAGTGAGAACGCTGTCAAGGTGAGCAGTTAGTGTGCCAGAGGAGATGAGGGGAAGTCTCCTGTGATCAGTGGAGCTGACAGTCGCCACACAGCTCCCACTGAAAACTCCTCTTCACCTTTACTCGGGGGAAGAAATTACTGCACACACTCCAACGCCACTTGTGACAAGCCAACTGATTCGGGCTCTAAACACTGCCATTGTGCTCCAGCTGTGCATATCTTTATCACAATGTGTCTTAACTGGCTGATGGTGGTTCTTTGCTAGTGGCTCAGCACAGTCGCTCAGAGGAAGCACTTCTTCACCCTACCAGGCTTTTATCAGATCTATACAGCGCACTGTTGGCTTAGAGCTCCCCTTCACCAACTCCCAGGGCCACTGGAGGCACGTGACAGTGATTTAAAATGGCAAGTTAAATAAAGTGTAAAATTCCTCAAATAGGGACTGCTTCATGGATGGGTGGCACAGAAATATGACTTGCACATCTTATTTTTTCATGATGGCCAGTGTTTGTTTTGACCTTTTTAGCTGCACGGTGGGTTTGTTGGTGTGCACGCTCTTGTCAAACGCAATAGCTGATGATGTTGTGGTTAGTTTGTAAACAATTCCCGCTGGGATTCTGCAGAATGCATCAGCCAGGTTCTCTGAGTTTAAAAATAATAACCATTTTTTAAAGAAACAATTGCTTGTTGTAGATAAATCTTTGTAGGATCTCAGTGACGTTTGATTGATGAGCTAACTGCTAGTAAGAGAGTGGCCAAGACCAACTTTATTTGCTGCAATTTTGATTCAACTCAGATCTCAAATATTCTTGGAAATGCTGTTTAGGTGGAAATGCAAAGCTGCCAACATGCGAATCAAAATTAGAGTGATGTCACACTGTGACGTGATCCTTTTCATGTTCTTACAATAAACATGTTTCATGTTTGTACAATATAATGATGTTGTATAAACAAAATAGTCATATTGTTCAGACAAAAAAAGTATTATTAGAACAATAAAAATGTCACAATACATTTATTACCTGATGTTATTCTAGTTTTATTTTGTGTGGGGGGGCTGCTCTACGTTGATGTAGTTAATTATATAGTTAAAATAAATTATTTCACTCTTGCATAACATGAAACTGCGTAAACTATTTAAAAAACTGCTGATGTCCGTAAGATTTAGGTTGCATAAAATATTTGAGCAATATGAATTTGATACTCAAACTAGCTACTAACTCTTCATTTCATTCAGAATTAAACAGGATTTGTCCGATTTCAGGTCATTCAAAGACTCATAACTTTTTCACCGAACCTCCTTTACAAAAATGGAACTATCCATCTAAGTTTCTTATCTTAAAGGTGAGCGTTAAAAGCGAAAAATCAATTGTTCAACACTTGTAATTTGTAAAAAAAAATAAAAATAAACCTATTAACTTCTCAGTTAATTAAATGAAAATCAGAAGTGACTAACTTTGCTGTCCATGACCCTCGTGAGCGGCAGCTGTAAGCCATGCTGGTACGATCTCCACGTGCCCACTTACACACTCAGCTAATGTAATTATGTTGGCACAAAAGGCCCATGGGGACCATGCAGTGTGGAAGGAAGCCCTAAAAAAACATTTAAACCTTTTTGCTATTCAAACCCTTTTTGTTAGAAATATTTGATAGTGAATGCAGTGGTGGTGGATTGTCCCTCACAAGCTGCTAACGGAGACGGTCTCTGGGGGTTGGGGTGGGGGAGTTAACCATTGTTATCCGAGGTGGAGATCTGAGTGTCAGCTCCTCACTGCGTGCTCTCTTACTAATCCCTTTTTGAGCCTCAGAAGAACATGAAGCGCTTCTGACTGGGGCATTAAGGTCTGTGCTACTTAATGCCAGTTGTGGGAATAGGCAGCCTGAATAGGGCCGGTGTACGGGGATATCATATTATTAGTAATCATATCTGCTTAAGCCAAGCTTGCTGCTCCAGATGGCTGCTTTCAAGTGCAAATGAACCAGTTAGATGTGTCTGGTTTAATACATACTCAGGAATCACAAATAGCCATTGATTTCTCCTTTTTTTTCTCCCTCTCCATCCAGTGTTTCTGGTGGTATTGAGCTTGGATTAAATGGTCTCCTGAGTCTTTAAAGGGGACATTGATTCCTCTAATTAATTGTGCACCGTGCAGAACCAGAATGCATAAGCCCGTCTGTATTAGCACTTCAAGTCAATTATTTTGAGTTTGCTGGGAAGGAGAACAAACACTTACTGTACACAAAAGAAATTTTAGAACTTATTTAGTTTCCTTGAGAATTTCATAGTGCTGTAATCAAAGACTTATTAACATTTTGTGCTTGTGCACAAGAAACTCAAATAGGCAGAAGAGAGGATTACTCACTCAGTGGGAATTTAGACACCCCACCAGCAAACGTGCATGCAGTTGTGTGTGTGTGTGTGTGTGTGTGTGTGTGTGTGTGTGTGTGTGTGTGTGTGTGTGTGTGTGTGTGTGTGTGTGTGTGTGTCTGTGTGTGTGTCTGTGTGTGTGTCTGTTTGAAATATGCCAGCACTGTTTAGTTACTGCAAATGATAAATTTGTCCATTCTTGCATGGGTACTCTTTGTTATTAGTAAATCTCTTGAGTGTGACAGAAATTTTAAACCAGAATTCCTAATTATTATTATTATTATTATTTTTACAGGCAGCTGGAAAGTACAGACAGCAGGGAAGGAACTACGTCGTTGAAGATGGAGACATCATTTTCTTTAAATTTAATGCACCAAATGCACCAAAGAAGAAATGACTCCAGAAGGACCATACACTGTAAAAATGAAATGTTGAATTAACTTAACCAAGTTATGTCAACTAGTTCCACTAAAGTTGCTTAAATGTCAAGAGTAAAAACGTTTACTGTAAACATAATGTACAACAACACATATTACTCTTTACATTTAAGCAGATTTTGTGGAACCTGACATAACTTGGTTAAGTTAATTCAACATTTCATTTCTTACACTCAACTTTTTTTATTATTATTTTATGTCAGAGGTCAGAGTGCACACTGTCACTGCCTAACATTTGATTACCCGTCCCTTAAGGCAGAAACCTGGAATTTTTCTCAGACGACACCATCTAGAGGTAGATGAATTTATTGCACCTTAGCCCCTCTTCCTACTTCCGTGATTACTGCTGGAAGGCAATGGCTGGAAGGCAATGGCTCTCCTTCATGAATATGCACATGTAACTGCCCAACAGAGCTAAAAAATATTGTTTTTGTTGTTCAATACAAACACACACACACACACACACACACACACACACACACACACACACACACATATATATATAAATTATTTACCTGTCCATAAAAAACGTCAGCAAATCTGCATCAATCTAGATACATCTACGAATGCTCATGCACGCTTTGTGATTGACATCTGTACGTAAGTGGATGTCTAACACTATTGGCTAATGCTTAGCGGCACTCAGTTCGAATTGCATGGGGCTCTAAGGAAGCGGGGACGGACTTACCAGAACATTTGATTGGCTATATTATACCACAGCACAGGGTAAGATTATGACTTTTACAGGTTTCTAAAAAATCATACATATTTCCTGAAAGAGGGAAAATTCCAGATTGCTGCTTTAAGATCAAATCTCACCTCGCGTAAGAGACAGCTCAGTCATTTAAGATCAGGACGAGACCCCGCTCCCCCTCCATTCACTCTCACTCTCCTCAAATTGTTGCAGCATTTGAAGGAGTGTATTACTCTCCAGATACTTCATTAATCTCCATCACGGGTGCCAGCACTGACACAGCTGACAGTGGGGACAATGCCACCTGCTCCTCTCCCCCTTCTGCAGATAATGCATGTTTTACAGTAGGCCAGATGTCTACACTCAATAAAACATTTGACAAAACCAGTCTGTGTGTGTTTAAGGATTTCTGTGTTGAGTGGAGAGCTGCATGGGGATGGTGATAGCAGTCCTGCCGGCCACTGATTAGAGAATTAAAAGACACAGCTGACATTGACTGTAGAATAGAGGGGACAATTATAATTAAGTCTGTTAAGTGATGCTGATTTTGGAAGGGCACATGGAGGATGCAGGTGTCTCTGCCAAAGGAAGTGGTCACTTTGAATTATGATTTGTAAAGAGATTGAGTTAACCCTTCATTGGCAGTGTTTTTCCCTCTGCATATGAGCTCATCTTCTGCTTAAACCTTGACAGGATGAGGCATGTAATTTGTTTGTTCTGAAGACAAAGAAAAATCTTAATCTCAACTTTTTTTCTTGCAAAACAAATTCCACCTTTCAGGGTTTTTATTGCAGCAGAAAAACTTGCATTTTTCCCCCCCCCAGTCCGCAACTTTGAGCAGGAACGATTCTTGTTGTCTGAAGCACAGTTTTTCTCAGCCCTATACTTTGTGTTGTGAGTGTTTGTGAAGCATTTATGCTGATGGAATTGTACGGCTGCAGACGCGGCACTCCAGAGTAAGATTGTTCTCTCTGTGGGAGTTCGAACATAAGAGCTGCTGATCAGCTGGCGCTTTGCTGAATATCTTGTAACCATTAAGGGTGCGGCAAAAGAAAATGGCCATTGGATGGGAACACAACAGATTGAATAAAAATGATCATTTTACAGAAGAAAAAAAAGTATTGCAACTTTTGGATGGGATGTTTTATGGAGCGCATCCTACACTACAAAGCATAGTGTTTGTCACAGAAATAAGGAGGATTATGGTCTTTAAGATTTAGGATCAGTGGCAAAATATAGGATGGCGTTTAGTGTGCTTATTTCATAAAGGGAAAACATGAAAACATGTAGCGAATAAAATTTGGCTTTTTTTGCTTTGTGTTAACCACTGATTTCAATCACTCTGATTTCGTAAATAAGAAAAAGAAAGAACGGTCTTTAATAGACTAAATTCTTCTTCAACAAGCTTCAGTTGACTTTTTTTAAGTGAAACCATTTAAATCCTCTGGTGAGCACAATGGGGGCTTGAGACAAAACTGTTTGTGCATTCTTCTCTGGATGGTGGTGGTGTTGGCCAACCTAAAGCCCACACACAAAATTATTCATCTGCCACAATTTCAAGGCTCAGGGATTGATGAGATCTTCCCAGTGGTCTGGTTTGTGGAGAATTTTGTTTTTCATAAAGCGCCTATAAATCTGTTCAAGGCAAGTAATAAAGCTATTTAAAATCAAAACACTGGAAAAAAAGTATCTTGTTCTGTCCCCAGCGTGATGGTTCTGGCTTTGATACTGACAATTCCCCTTGAGGCAGAAGAGACTCTGAATTATGAGACAACATCATGAACCTTGTTTCAAATTTCTTTTGTTCCAGAGCTAAAAATGTGTTTAGGAGATTGCAGCAATTAGACGGTCAAAGCTGCTTTAAAATGAGCCCAGAAAAAGTGACAGAATCTCCTCAGAAATCTTCTGTCAGCGACATCAATCATGTGGTGCCACTCTGCCCCGAGGCCGACCACAGTGGCATCAAACCAAGAGGAGCACAGAGCAGAAAGCTGCCTTTAAAACACACACACCCAACAAAAGAGACCACGGCCTGCTGCTGTAAATCACTCGTACTCTCACCAACGCCCTTTGAAGAATTAAAAGAAAGAATTTGAGTTATGACAAATAAACATGTGGCATTTTTCAGAGCAACAACTACGCACGAGGGATTGTGTTGGGAAATTCATTGGTTATAACGAGCACACTGTATCATATTATTACAAAGAGGAAATTACCTCTATTTTGGATGACAATAAAAGCGCTGCCATGTTGTAATTGTTGCTATTGTGACGTGTTTTTTTTCTCTTGCACATAGAATAGACACTGAGTCAAAACGGCACCAGGATTTGTCAAAAATAACAGCGAACGTTCAATTCCGAGGGTTTATGCAACCATTTCCAAGTGGTGATTTTGTACCATGATGATACAGCAAAACGGCTTTGAGTTATTGTTCTGGCTGTCGAAGAGGATGATGCTGCTGATGGAGCTCCGAGAGGAAATAACGTAAAAATAAAATGCACATAAACAGTTTAGCTGAGCAAGGAATGTTTTAAGGTGAGGGACTCTCAGAAAAACAATTTTTAATGATTGTTTCTGATTATGATCACTCAATTAGAATTTTTCTTGCAGACTGAACATGATAATAGCTTCCTACACCTATCTCCTGCGCTAGCTTCTGGTAGAAAATAGACAGCGAAGCTCTAGGATTTGAAAAGCCTGACAGATTTATGTCAAACTGGGATATTTTGCAACTTTTTCCCATATTTTTAAATCATTTTCTTGAGCCAGTATGTACTAAAAGGACCCTTTACAGCAGGGGTGTAAAACTCAAATTCACACTGGGCCAATATGAAAATCTGGGACGAAGTTGCGGGCCAAACTTAATATTTTTTGAAAAAGTGACGGCAAATTTGCACCTTTTCTTCATCAACATATATGCCATTTTGAAACTTTTAATTTGGAAACAAACTTATTTTTGCATTAACACTGAATGTGGAATAACCAAATTACACACGAACAAGTCAATTTTAATTAAAATGCATCAGTGGTATTTATTACTTGTGGTATATTCAGCTTTTTTAAAATATATTCAGGATTTATGTTTTGTTTTTTCTTATTTTTTATTCTCCTTTTTTTTCTCCTGTAATAAGTGTCATCGCTGCTGTGGCATCTACAGTAGCTTTCCCCACTGAGGAACAATAAAGGGACTTTCTATTCTATTCCTCTATCTGCAGCCTTTCCACTTCCTGTTTAATGTAGGTTAAATCTTTTCTCACGGGCCAACAACAAAATAAAAATATCATTTTATCTTAAATGAAAATGCAATATCTCACCTGTTAACTTTCATATTTTGGAGCAGAAAAAGAGCATAAAACCAAAATATTTAAAGCTCAGTTTGCTCCACTGATTTACTGTGATGCTCACCTGTTCCAGCCAGATACCTGCATCATGGGGTTGATCTGAGCTGAGGAGGAGACTCCTGTTGTTTTGTTCATCTTCATCATAATAATGACAACATTAGATGACAACAGGTGCTCACATAGGTTTGTGCTGGTGAGCATGGAGAGCGTCTGAACAGCTTGACCACGTTGTTGTGTGTCGGGGAGGAAAAATAAAAACTACAGCAGCCACAGAGTCATGCTGATTTGAGCGTGTCACTGCTCGCTGAAGTATCAGCTCTGTCTGGAAGTTAGTTGGAAAACTTTCTCTTTCAGTCGTGAACACATTACTGAGCGGATAAAATCTCCGTTTCTGGGCTTCAACGTCGGCAAATAGCTGAGTAAACTCGGCGCTGTATGAGAGGAGTGTTTAGTTTGTCCGAGACAGCGGAGCTGCAGACAGCGGCAGCAGACCCTGGAAAAAACACAAAGGAGGGGGTGCTTCGGCTAACGCGGCAAAGCATCATGGGAGTTGTAGTCTTTATGTTAAAATCAGCCAACGAGTCAGTTTTTATATATTTTTTATATTTATCTCGTTGTCCACATAAAAATGCTCTGCGGGCCTTGTGTCTGACAAATGTGCTTTACAGGGTTAATGAAATGCCACCCAGCCCCTATCACCCCATGTGGCCAGAATATCCCACTTGCAGCTTCACAGTTGTCGGTCCAGTCTGTTGGGACTTAGAAAAAATTGAGCTTACATACCTGGTGCTGCAGTCTGCTTCCAGCACATATTCGACATGTTTAAGATCATGAATACAAATGATTTGTTTGATTTAGGGATGAATCACCCCTCTAGAGACTGAGGAAGGCTGGGAGGTTCTACAAACAAACACTATGGGGTGCTAAGCAACCCGAAACTACCTACCATTAACATTCATGGACACATTGATCTTGACTAGCGTTGGGGAAGCTGTTGTTTCTTTAACGTTCCGGAATTAGCAGACAACGTCCCGATTAGTAGAAGCTACCCGTTAGCAACATCACCACACAGAAAAACTACTCAATGTTTGTGTTTTTTTATGGAGATGAAACATCCACATTGCAAGTCAGTAGAGTCGCATTTCTGTTAACCAATTTGAGGCGAGAAGTCCAAATATCAGGAAATAAGACTCTAAATCCTGCCGTGTTCTGCCACTCTCTATGGCAGCAGATTTGGTTTTCATTGATTATAGCTTGCAAGGTATTCATTCCTACCACTGCAAATGGAGTGATTAAACAAGTGAACTACACCTTTAAACCTCATGGAGTTTAATTTTTTCTTATTATCTGCTGGTTTTAATAATTAAAGAGCAAGTCACCCCCAAATAAACTTTTTTTTGCTGATAAACTAAATAAACGAGTGTCTAATCGTGCTGCAGACACGTGTCGTCAATAATTTGGCACTTCAGTGCATCTTAGTTCAAGTTTAAATATTCTGCCTAAAACTGGCAGTATTGTGCCGTTGTCAGGTAAAAACTCTGCGCTGTATTTTAATTTAAATCTGCCACCGCTATTGGCTAAGAAGTATGCTATGATGTAAACTGGTACATTATGATGTCACAATGCTGTCGTGAGCCTGAGTGTGTGTGTATTTGTTAGCGGCTCCGCCCTCTCGGTCTGCCAGGCAACAGCATGTGTTGCATTTTTCAAACATGAAGTGGGAGTGGAGTTAGACTCTGGTAGGGGTTGACTTGCTCTTTAAATAAATAAATCTAATTCATTTCAGCAGAAAAAGTTTTACATTTAAAAGTGTTTTCTACTTTAAAAAGTTTAATTCACACACCTCCTGACTGTTTTATTTACAGACATCCTATGTAGACGCCTCGTAGACTGGCACTGCCAGTGGCTGGCCGCCATCTTGGATGGGTCTCCACTCACCCCAGTGTTTTTCTTTCTACTGAGTAAGGTGTTTACCCAAGTAAAAAAAAATCTGCTTTTTCACAAAATAAGACAAATGGTGTATAACATGATAAATATAAATATAGT